TCAAATCCCTAACCTTGGAACACTTGTATATCCAAAGATGTAATACAACACTGAGATAAAGTTTAGTTTACCCTACAAACCGTCCTAGAAAAACAAAATGTTCATTGGTGATAAAATGACTCATCAAAAACACATTTTAAGTTAGCTTTTTGCTCATCTCTCAACACTGGAAGAAGTACAGCAACAACAGAGAAAAATACGCAATCAGTAAAGATTTCCTCCTCCTCCCTACATCTACAGTGTCAACAAAGAGAGAGCTTGGATTAAAGTTCATCTTCAATATGTTTGGACAGTGAAAACTTTCTCACACAGTAGATCATCCTTGTCAATAAGTCCATAAAAGTGACCAGATTGGCAAAATTATTTTGTGTGTGTGTGTGTGTGTCAGGAGCGACTTGAGAAACTGCAAGTTGCTTCTGGTGTGAGCAAATTTGCGGTCTGCAAGGACACTGCCCAGGGGACTCCTGGATATGTGGGAGGCTTCCCTCCTTTCCCTTCATGGGAAGCTGGAGCTGACTGACAGGAGCTCATCCCACTACCCAGATTCAAACCACCGACCTTTCGGTCAGTGGTCCTCCCAGGACAATAAAGCACAAGTTCCTTTGCCGGGCAAGAAAAAACAGAATAAAAGTTTATCTGAATGGAAAAGAGGGAGGGAGGGAGGGAGGGAAGCAATATTACTACCAAATTCACTGGAGAAAGAAGAAATTGAGAAATGTATTGTTGCACTTTCCTGCGCTCCTGTAAAAATGTATTGCACTCATTGAATCTGTACCTCAGCTATGTTTCTTTCAGCCGTATTGTTTTTATATTGCTTTCAATTGTGCTGTTATTTGTTTTATCTGATGTTCTAGTTGGTTAAAGTGTTTTACATGTGTGTTTTAATTATAATCTTGGGCGTGTCCCTTGTAAGCCACCCCGAGTCCCCTAGGGGAGATGGTTGGCGGGGTATAAAAATAAAGTTGTTGTTGTTATTATTATTAAATCTATTCCTTTTCCAACAGATTGCGGTACTTCCATTCTCGTTGTACAAAATATGTCATCCTTTCTCTGTGGCTAACACAAATGTATGTATTCCTTCCTTCACCAGCTTACACAAATCAGGAATTGTTAGGAATTGTGGGAATTGAAGTCCAAAAGACCTGGAGGGCCCAAGTTTGCCCATGCCTGGGCTATGGGCATCTCTCACCATCATTCCAGCTGGGGTTCCCGATGGGCTGATTGGGGAGTAAGCTTGCTAGATTTATATGTCGTTCTCTGATGCTTGTAGTTTTAAACACTTGTGTATCCATTGCCTTTGAATCCCCCACCCCCAAAGGAACCTTTGGCTTTGATAAAACAAGAGGTCATTTAGGAGGTGGGCATACCACGTGCTTCTGTTTAGGGCAGTACCTCCCTCCCTTTGCCTGTGTTAAATAGACATGCAGGTAAGAGGAAAAGGAGCAATTGCAGGGGAGAATCTGCATGGTAAGGGAAGTAATGCCTGTGCTAACATGCTTCCTCCTCTTCTCTCTGGGACCAGAGTGGGTAGCCTCCTCCATCACAGTGGTTGTCCCTCCCACCACAGATGTTTACATTTTCCTCAGTTTTGCAGGAGATCTGCAACCCTAACCACCTGAAAGTGGAGGAATGACTGTATATCTTTTTATATTGACACACACTAACAAGGCTATATCATTACATATTTTAACAAGTTACTCATATTAAAAATTTCAAAGTTAAAAAGTTAACCACAAGGAAAGTTATTAGAACTGCAAATAATGGTTTTCATTTCCTTCAATGCTGCTGTTTTAGACCACATTCATGGAGCATGGCAGCTTATCTGCTATGTGACGTTCATGAGACTTAAGAAGCGGGAATTCATCCCTCCTTTCCACCCAAGTATTCTGGAAATTATGTCCTAAGGAGCAAAATGCAAGAGGAAGAAAAGCTTATCTAATCTAGCATTCTGTACCCACAATGACCAAACAGATGTCTGCAAAAAGCCTGCAAGCAGGATGTGTGCACAACAGCATTTTCCCAGCCATTTTAAGAATGTTTCGAGGAGTTTTCCCCCATTATGTTAACAAGTTTCAGCACAAAACCCAAGAGTTTTGTTATATCTTAAAGACCAGCAAGTGTTTTTTGGCATCAAGCATTTGTGTGCTCAAGCCCACTTCTTCAGATGTAGCATGGGTTCAAAACATGCCAAATTCCATGACAAATAAAATAGATGCAGTTGACACAAACTGTTCTTCATGCTGCACACTGAGCTTATGCCAAATAAAACTGTTGGAATTATTTTCTGTTTCTTTGTTCTTCTTCCACCCAAGTATCCCAGGAACAGATACTGCCTCTGCTTCCAAAGATAACATACAAGCATCATGAGTGGTACATATTGATAGAAACATCACTCATGACTAGAAGTTTTATCACTTTGATAGCACTTTAGCTGTATGGTTTCATCCTATAGAACAGGAGATCTCAAGCTTCCTAATGCCACCACCCCTTAATACAGTTCCTCATGCTGTGGTGACACCCAACCATAACATTATTTTTGTTGCTACTTCATCACTGTAATTTTGCTACTGTTATGAATCATGATGTAAATATCTGATATGCAGGATGTATTTTAATTCGCTGGACCAAATTTGGCACAAATACCTAGTATGCCCAAATTTGAATACTGGTTGGGCTGGGGGAAGATTGATTTTGTCATTTGGAAGTTGTAGTTGCTGGGATTTATACTTCACCTACAATCAAAGAGCATTTTGAACTCCACCAATGATGGAATTGAACCAAACTGTACACCCCTTTCTGTGTATTTAATGTCTCTTCAAGTTGCTTGTCAATTTAGGGTGACTCCATGATTTTAACTGTGTTTTCTTGGGCAAGGAATACAGAGAGGGGGGTTTGCTTCAGAAACAAAACTTACAGCACCTAGTAGTTGTCAGGAGAGGCCCCTGCCTTTGTTTGTATTTGTCTGTCCCATTGTATATGATTGTAAAGGCATTGAATGTTTGCCTATGTATGTAAACACTGTAATCTACCCTGAGTCCCCTAGGTGAGAAGGGAGGAATATTAATAAAGTATATTAGTAGCAGTATTCATGAGCAGTCCCCCATCCAAGTACTAATCTGGATGGTCCCTGCATAGCTTCCAAGATTATGCCTTTGTGGGCATTTAGGCCCACTCTTACCTGGAACTATATCTCACTGATTTACAACTAGACTTACTTCAGAGTAGGTGTGCCTCCCCCAAAGTATTCTCATCCTCCCTCAAAAAAAATTTCTGCCCAGGTTGACTGTGGCTGATGGCAGTTGCAATCCAACAAATGTGGATGGTGACCATTTCGTTACATTCTGGGGAAGTAAGAGTTGAGGCAACATTTGTATGAGCTCCTCCACAAAAGCAGTAAGAGTTTGCACCTCTCCTTTCTCCTCAACCCCTACAACAGTGGTTCTCAGCCTTCCTAACGTCACAACCCCTTAATACAGTTCCTCATGTTGTGTGACCCCCAACCATAAAATTATTTTTGTTGCTACTTCATAACTGTAATTTTACTACTGTTATTAATTGTAATTTAAATATCTGATATGGAGAATGTATTTTCATTTGCTGGACAAAATTTAATACAAATACCAGATACGGCCAAATTTGAATACTGGTGGGGTTTATTAATTTTGTCATTTGGGAGTTGTAGTTGCTGGGATTTATAGTTCACCTACAATCAAAGAGCATTCTGAACTCCACCAATGATGAAACTGAACCAAACTTGACGCACTGAACTCCCATGGCCAATAGAAAATACTGGAAGGCTTTGGTGGGCATTAACCTTGAGTTTTGGAGTTGTAGTTCACCTGCATCCAGAGAGCACTGTGGACTCAAACAATGATGAATCTGGACCACACTTGGCATGAATACTCAGTATGCCCAAATGTGACCACTGGTAGAATTTGGGGAAAATAGACCTTGACATTTGGGAGTTGATTGTTAACCTACAATCAAAGCCCCCAGTGGCGCAGTGTGTTAAAGCGCTGAGCTGCTGAGCTTGTTGACCTAAAGGTCGCAGGTTCGATACCGGGGAGCGGTGTGAGCTTCCGCTGTCAGCCCCAGCTTCTGCCAACTTAGTAGTTTGAAAACATGCAAATGTGAGTAGATCAATAGGTACTGCTCTGGCAGTCATGCTGGCCACATGACCTTGGAGATGTCTATGGACAACGCTGGATCTTTGGCTTAGAAATGGGAGATGAGTACCACACCCCAGAGTTGGACACGACTGGACTTAATGTCAGGGGAAAACCTTTACCTTTACCTACAATCAAAGAGCATTCTGAATCCAACCCACAATGGATCTGCACCAAACTGGGCACACTACCTACATGCCCAGCATTGAAAACTGCTGGGGTTGGGGGGAGGGGGACGGGACTGTTTTTGAATTCTGGGAGTTGTAGTTCACCAACACAAAAAAGGAACTAAAGAACAGGCGGAGAGATCTTCAGCCTTCTCTGCCAAAAGGGTTCCTAAGACCACCAGAGATATGTGCTTTCTGATAGTCTTTGGCAACCCCCTGAAAGCCTCTTCATGACCTCCCCATGGGTCCTGACCCCCAGGTTGAGAAATACTGCCCTAACATCTTCATCAAACACTATGGAACAAAATTAGGGGGGGGGGGAACCAGTTTCTAGTTTGAAAGCGTTATTTCCTGTTTAACTGTGTGGTACTTGCTTTGAAAGTAGTTATCCTCCAAAACTTTGTTGAATTGGTTGCGATTCTATGACAGGCCTGGGCCAACTTGGGCCCTCCCTCCAGGTGTTTTGGATTTCACTCCCACAATTCCTAACAATTCCTGGCAGTTCAAGTGGTGTCGAACCGCATTAATTCCCCAATGTAGGTGCAGAATGAATTCTCAAACAGCTCAGGAAACGTGCTGGGAACCGCCGCCCCCGCCCCCCACCCGGCGCCCTCTTTGCGGCGCCCACCCGCCGTCTAAGCCCGTCTTTCTCTGTTCTCGGACCTACCATTGTATCCGAAGGGAAGGGAGCGCGAAGGGCGGACCACCAGCAGAAGCAGGAGGAGGAAGCGGGGCTGCCCCATGGCCATCGCGCTTCTGCCGTTGAGACCGGCGAGCGAAGGCAAGGGCGACCCCGCGGAGGTCCTCGGAGGAGTCGCCGGCCACGGGAAGGGAAACGCAGACAGAGGAGAGAGACGCACCGAGGAGGGGGGAGGGGAGGGAGGGAGGGAGGAGGAGGCGGCCCACAGGACTGGGCACCGCCCCGCAGCCCCGGCGGGGGGAGAAACCCGACCCTCTCCTTGGAAAACGGATCCGGGGTTTGAGGAGGGATGGGGGAGGCAGAGAGAGAGAGAGTGGGGGGAGGATGAGAGGGGGGAGAGAGGGGGAAGGGGAGGGAGAGGGGAGAGAGGGGAGAGGGAGGGGAGAGGGGGAAAGAGGGAGAGGGAGGCGGGGAGGAGGGAGGCGGGGGAGAGAGAGGAGAGGGAGGGAGAGAAGGAGGAAGAGAGGGAGGGAGAGAAAGGGAGAGGGGGGAAAGAGAGATGGAGATGGTGGCAAGCCCTTCCACTCTCCTTCCTATCTGACTTGGCCACGGTGGTCCACGCTCTGGTTACATCCCCATATAGACTACTGCAACGCTCTCTACTACTATGAGGGGTTGCCTCTGAAGACTGCTCAGAAGCTGCCATTAGTCCAACGAGTGGCAGCCAGATTACTAACAGGAGCGGGGTACAGGGAGCATACTACTCCTCTGTTGTGCCAGCTTCACTGGCTGCCAATTAGCTTCCGAGCATAATTCAAAGTGCTGGTATTGACCTATAAATCCCTAAACTACTCCGGCCCAGTTTACCTGCCCAAACAGATTCTCCCCTATGAACCATCAAGGTTGTTAAGATCTTCTGGAGGGGCCCTGCTCTCGGTCCCACCACCCTCCCAATCGCGTGTGGTGGGGACGAGGGACAGGGCCTTCTCGGTGGTGGCCCCTTGGCTCTGGAACTCTCTCCCACTGGAGATTAGATCTGCCCCTTCTCTCCTGACTTTTAGAAAACTGGTGAAAACCTGGCTCTGTAATTTAGCATTTGATGAGTGAGTCAATAACTCCTGACCACACGGACGGATGGCGATGAATTGTGACTCCATTTTGACGACTTGGCATTATGTAATTATATAATCATATTTTAATGTTTTAGTGAATTATGGAATGTGATGTTTTAAACTATTGTTATGAATCTTTTGTTGTGAACTGGACTGAGTCCCTCTGCGGAGGTCGAGAAGACCAGTATATAAAAGTTCTAAATAAATAAATAAATAAATCTCCCTCTCCCTTTGCCTGTATGCCACACACTGACTGGCTTTGTGGAATGGGTGTTCCTCCATAATAGGCATGGGTCTACTTGGGCTCTCCAGGTATTTTGGACTTCAACTCCCACCATTCCTAACAACCTCAGGCCCCTTCTTAAGCGGCTGGGGGGGGGGGGGGGGGGGGGGAGGGAGAAAGGCCCTGAGGCTGTTAGGAATGGTGGGAGTTGAAGTCCAAAACAACTGGAGGGCCCCATCCAAATATATGTTTCTCAGCTCATTCATTTTTATGCTTCGCCCAGACATGACACTGCCAAGAAAAACTTTTTTAAAAATCAGCTTCAACGTTTTAATGGCAGAGAGAAAATGAAGGCTTTCCCCATCAGACAGAGAATCCTATAGTTGGAAGAGCCCTCATGGGCCATTCAGCTCAACCCCCTGCCAAGAAGCAGGAAAATCGCATTCAAAGCACCTCCGACAGATGGCCATCCAGCCTCTGCTTAAAAGCTTCCAAAGAAGATGCCTCCACCACTCTCTGGGGCAGAGAGTTCCACTGCTGAACAGCTCTCACAGTCAGGAAGTTAAGTTCTTCCTCATGTTCAGGTGGAATCTCCTTGCCTGTAGTTTGAAGCCATTGTTCGGCATCCTAGTCTCCAGGGCAGCAGAAAACATGCTTGCTCCCTCCTCCCTATGACTTCCCCTCACAACTTGATCCATGGCCAGGGGCGGCTCAACCATTACGCAAAGTAAGCATTTGCAGTATAGTTGATTTTGCCCAGGGGCGCTCTTGAGACGCTCTTGGGGGAAAATAGACCTTGACATATGCGAGTTGTAGTTACTGGGATTAGGCTTGGGCGGTTTCGTTCGTTAATTTCGTAATTCGTTATTAATTCGTATTTAAATTAGCTTACGATCCAATATTGAGCCATGCAGGACTACTGTGAGGAGTAATTAAAAATCGAAACAATTTTTCCAATTTATTTCGTATTGTTTCGTAATTGTTTCGTAATTGTTTCATAATTATTTCCGTATGTCTGGTACAAGTTTTATAGTTGTTGTTTGTTTTATCAGTGATAAAAAATAAATTATCACACCAACAGTCAACAACAGAGGGAGAGGGAAGCTTCAGAAGTTCCCCCTGTCCCATTTGGAGGGATTTTTTAGCATATTGCGCAATCGCGTCCGCCATTAACGAATCGATTCGTAATTTTACGAAATTTCGTATATTTCGAAATTTTTTAAAGGAAAATTTCGGAATTCTTTAAAAAACGAAACGCAAGGGCCCCCCTAAAAACGAAACGAGTTTAGAACCAAATTTTCCATAGTTACCCAAGCCTAACTGTATAGTTCACCTACAATCAAAGAGCATTCTGAACTCCACCAATGATGGAATTGAACCAAATATGGCACACAGAACTCCCACGACGAACAGAAAATATATATCAGTGATTGGTTGGGGGGGGGGTAAAATACTCTTTGCTTACCATTGAAAATGACCTAGGGCCGCCTCTGTCCATGGCTCTCCCACAGGATGGTAAAACATTATTATAAATATTATAATAATGATTGGTGAAAAAACTTGATTGAATTTCCCTTCTTAGGGGAAGATTTTTCTCACTGCCTGTTGTTTCACCCCCATTTGTAACTATGAATTGTTTGTAAATTGGATGTTTGTAACTCAGGGACCGGCTGTATATCAAGTTTTTTGTTCATATAAATTGCTGAAAGAGCCAGCGGCATAGTATGCTGCTTCCCCCCCTCAACCGCCTCAATTAAGCAGTAGTTCACTTGGTTGCTGTGAGTTTTCCGGGCTGTATGGCCATGTTCTGGAAGTATTCTCTCCTGACGATTCATCCACATCTATGGAGACATCCTCAGAGGTTGTGAGGTATATTGTCTGTTTGAGGCAAGTGTGGATGTTGGAAATGGCCAGTTTGATTAGCATTGAATGGCCTTGCAACTTCAAAGCCTAGCAGCTTCCTGCCTGGGGGGGGGGATCCTTTCTTGGGAGGTGTTAGATAGCCCTGATTGTTTCCTGTCTGGATTTTTGCTGTTTTCTGAGTATTTCTCTTTATTTACTGTCCTGATTTTAGAGTATTTTAAAAATACTGGTGACCAAATTTTGTTCATTTTCACGGTTTTCTCCTTTCTGTTGAAATTGTCCACATGCTTGTGGATTTCAGTGGCTTCTCTGTGTAGTCTGATATGGTAGTTGTGAGAGTGGTCCAGCATTTCTGTGTTCTCAAATAATATGCTGTGTCAGGAGAGAATGCTTTTGGAACATGGCTATACAGCCCGGAAAACAATGGTTCTGGCCATAAAAGATTTCGACAACAGATTAAAAAGTATTTCTTTGTTAGTAATTACTGTATAATGTTGCAATGCTCTTTGGGGATATTCTTAAAATTGTGTTGTTGAAGAAATGGAATTCTCATTCCATTTCTAACAGAGTTGCATCCCCTACATTCCAAAGTTGTTTCCAGGAATTGAACATTGGCTAGTATTTGAAGATATTATTTCTCATCAATGGCTGCATCACTTCTCTCCCAGTGAATTATTCATTGCCTAGGGGAGCATGTTCAGAGGAGCGGTTGCCTGGAAGGAATGTAAAAAGACCATTCCTTGGTGGCCTATGGGGACACAAAACAGAACCATTAAAACCTCCTGTTGTTTACTTCACACCCTGGAAGAAGAAATATGGCAAGGACCAGATATATTTTGAAAGGTTGGGGAAGGGGTATTATCTATTCCAAATGAAATAATAATAATGAGGAGGAGGAGGAGGAGGAGGAAAAGAAGAGAAGAAGAAGGTTCTCCATGGACAGTTCCTGGGAAAAATTGAGAGCCAAATTGACAACGAAAATACATGGCTGTGGCTCACAAATGAAACTCTGAAAAAGGAGAGAGAGGGCCTGATTCTGGCAGCCCAAGAACAAGCTATTAGAGCAAATGCCATCAAAACCAGAATTGAAAAGTTGATGACAGATTCCAAATGTAGACTCTGCAAGAAAGCAAATGAAACAATAGATCACATCCTCAGCTGCTGCAAGAAGATCATGCAGACAGACTACAAGCAGAGGCATAACACCGTTGCTCAGATGATTCATTGGAACTTGTGCCACAAATACAATCTGCCTGTGACAAAGAACTGGTGGGATCACAAGCCGGAAAAAGTTACAGAAAATGAACATGTCAAGCTACTCTGGGACTTCCAGAATTCAGACTGACAGAGTTCTGGAGCACAAGACTCCTGACCTCACGGTTGTGTTAAAAAACGAAGTATGGATCGTTGATGTTACAATCCCAGGTGACCTCAAGATTGAAGAGAATCAACTGGAAAAGCTGACACGATATGAGGATTTAAAGATCGAACTGCAAAGACTCCATTTTAATTTTGGGGGGGGGGGGCTGACACGATATGAGGATTTAAAGATCGAACTGCAAAGACTCTGGCACAAGCCAGTTAAGGTGGTCCCAGTGGTGAACCTTGGCCTGCACTTAAACACAATCGGCACTGACAAAATTACCATCCGTCAGCTGCAAAAGGCCACCCATCTGCATGCATTATTCACTGATACATCACACAGTCCTAGACACTTGGAAAGTGTCTGATGTGTGATCCAATAAAACAGCCTGCAGAGTGACCTTGTTTGCAGAGTGACCTTATTTCAAATAATAATAATAATAATAATAATAATAATAATAATAATAATAATAATAATTTATTTATTTATATTCTGCCCTTTCTCCCCAGGAAGGACTCAGGGCAGATAATATCTAAGGACTCTGTGGTTTTGTCCCGGGGTGGGCAGCTTTTGATTCTTCAGCTATTTTGGCATACATCACCCCATAGCATTGGACATGTTGACTGGGGCTTCTGAAAGAGTTCAATGCAATTAGATGCCCAAAGGTTCCCTATCTCAGTCCCATATCATCTCCCCACAGCCTCCCCAGCATGAATTGCAAATAACCTGTTCAAGATACAAAGTCAGCCTGGATATGTGAATGCAATTGTGA